TGAGGGCGACCATGACCAGTGAGAGAGAGTCTGGCCTTGCCCTAATGAACATCCATTATGGTAGGCAAATTGGCATTGGTGCAACAATCGACATTTTTGCACCGAAGCATCCACGGCTCCTCCTTCTTTCTGATATCCTAGCTGAGTGAACGGTAAATCACAAGTCTACAGCATTTGATGAAGTATGTAATATGTTAAACAACTATTATATTCTGTTACGGTCCATCTCTTCAGGAAGTGAGATTTACAATCCCCTCTTAGAAATATTAGCTACGTTTGGCGCTGAAATTATTGGAAATTTGTGCTCAGAATCAAGGAAGCGCCATTTCTGAAGACACAAAATTCAAAAATTTTCCGGGGGAGCATACCCGGACCCCGCTAGTAAAGAGCGCCTCCGGCGCTCGGTTGTCAATCGGGCAAGCAATATACATTAGGAACCCCTCCATGCAAAAAGGCTGGCTACGCCCCTGAGGTGTCACCCTACGTCCCCATAACGGTCACCTCTCTATAACGGCCACTATCTTCCGTCCCCAAGGTGGCCGTTGTGGAGAGGTTCGACTGTGTTAGGATAGTCTTGGAATTTCTGTGCTCATTTACCAGAATGCGAAGAACCCAATATTGAAAGCTCATTTGCACTTTTATCAAGTTTTCCCTGATGAATTGACGAGGATCTTTTGAGCGCCATGTTGTCTCCAGGAGACGCTCTAGACGAAAAGAAGTTGAGAGCGTAAAGAGCTTCTTCACAGGCCTTCTGTTGATAACAACGACAAGAACAGGATCAAACTTTCGATAAATTACACCCTATAACAAAATTCTCCATTCTGACCTGTTCTCCGCACGCCTACAAAAATAACAAGCTAATCACAATTATTCCCGGGAATAGAGCGGTTTTCAATTGAGCAAAGCACAACCGAAACCAAAGTAATCACTCTGTCCAATCACAAGGACACAGACAATCCAGTGAACCAATCAAAACTCGAAGTGAATACATGAAGCTGACGCGAAGTGCGGGAAAACGTGTGCGAGCGAGTTGCGATTAGTTTTGGTTTTAATTATGATTGGATGAAAAAGTGGCGCGAGATTTTTATAAGCCAATCACGTAGCGTTGATGCAAAACCAATCACTTTTCGACACTCAACTGGAAACCGCTCTAACGTATAACGGGTCCTTCGAAATTGGATTTTGATTGAAACAAAAACAATTCCTCAGCAAGAAAGACAATTTGTTGGTAATTATTACCTTGTGATCATCAAGGTGAAAATAAGAACAGGACAGCTGAATGGCTCCTCTGATTAATGACTAAAACAAAAAGCAACAAATGAAAGAGCTTCAACAAGCGTCCACACTGAGCAGTGTTTGGGTCAACTTGTCTATCAATTCGCTATTTCCGAGTTACCTTGTGCCTCTCTTTCAAAACGAGTCCTCGTGTGACCTTTTATACGAAAATGAGTTTGATTTGCATAAAAATGAACGCACAGGTGGAACACATTTCCATATGACTGATTTTGTACAGAGAAGGCAACTCGGAAATGGTCTTAAGGTGGGCCCACACGAGGGGGCATGTTTCAGGGACATGCTGCTGCAAAATGAAGCAGGGACAAAATCGCGTTAAGTACACACTGAGGGGACATGTTGCAGAGATGTGTAGCAGGGACATGTCAAAGTGACCAAATCGCAGAGAATGCACACTTGTGAAAAAGTTGCCCTGACATGTTCCCCTGATGTGCGCTGACACTTTTTCACTCGTGCAACATGAATTTTAAGCAAAATTTGTCCCTGCAACATGTCGCACGGAGTTCAACTTGTTGAACTTCATGGGACATGTTGCCGGGACAAATTTTGCTAAAAATTCATGTTGCACGAGTGAAAAAGTGTCAGCGCACATCAGGGGATGTGTCCCAGCTACATTTTCGTGTGTATGTGCAAGTGGTAATCCATCCCCTGAATCACGTCCCAGCTACATGGCCCCTAATGTGTACAGTTTATGAATATGTTGCTGCTACATGTCGCAGCAAGATGTCCCCGCGACATGTCCTCTCGTTTGGGGCCACCTTAACAAACCTCGGTACCAACATGTCGCACGGAGTTCAACTTGTTGAACTTCATGGGACATGTTGCCGGGACAAATTTTGCTAAAAATTCATGTTGCACGAGTGAAAAGTGTCAGCGCACATCAGGGGATGTGTCCCAGCTACATTTTCGTGTGTATGTGCAAGTGGTAATCCATCCCCTGAATCACGTCCCAGTTACATGGCCCCTAATGTGTACAGTTTATGAATATGTTGCTGCTACATGTTGCAGCAAGATGTCCCCGCGACATGTCCTCTCGTTTGGGGCCACCTTAATAAACCTCGGTACCAAGAGGTACCGAGTAGTAACAAGAGAAACACAAGAGTTTCCCTGCTAACGAACTCCAGAGTTAACAACTCTTGTGATTCCCGTTTGATGTATAGCTAATTTACTTATCATGTATCTGGCAGTTTTGTCGCGTGATACTTTGAAAACTTCTAGAACCCAGACTCACGATTTTCAAGCTGTGTCATTTAACATGCATACCTCTTGGTTTGCCGAGGCATCCTTTTCCAAGGAACGCTTTTGTTCCTGAAGAAATTCAACAGCCTTCTTGTATTTTCCCTGCAATTATTACACCGGAGGATAAAATAAGAAACATCAGATGAGTTCACCACCTTTCACAATTAAATCAAAGTAGTCCTATAGCCTGTCAGTTAGCACATAGCAGTCCTTAAACTTGCAAATTTGACAAAAAAAACGTTGAGAATTTGACGTAATCTTGGAGACAGACCACAAGACTAACTTTCTAATGGAGCTACGCTTGTTTCCCTTTTTTTTCTTGATGTACTACTGTGTTACTCTATGATTCCCCCCCCCCTCACCAAAAAAACAAAGAATACTTCTATGAAAAGCAATTTAGAGCAAATAATCATTTCCATAATTGTAACATAGTTGTCACCTTGTGGCGTACGGTTGCGGTTGTACAAAGGATGAATAACGGTTTCTGCTTGATAAATAACTACCCAATGCAGGTATGGGGTAGTTTATTTTGTTAAAAGCGGCCAAAAAAAGCTGTCCGTCTCCAAACGTATTTGCTTTTGATTGGCCAAGCAATGAGGAACCCAATAAAGAGGTGAAAAAGTTGTTGACGTTTAGTTAAACTGATCTTGAGCAAAAGCAGCATGACGTGTTAAAGTTGGAATCAACAGAAAATGAAAGTTGACAAGTTTTGCTCGGTCACGTTTGATCACAAACTCTCATGTTCCATTTTTATGGACCTTTGTGTAAAAGATTTCTTTTTGAGAGTCGACGAAAGCTTTCGCTTTGAGAGGTAGCATCTGTTGCGGAATCTACACTCTACCTAGCTTCACCGTCATCGCTACAGTCAGGAAACAGTTGAGCTTTCAGTTAGTGCAGCGCGAAAAATGGCGCATTAAGCCTCTCTTTCCTTTTTCCGCTCCGCCATGTTTTCGCGCTTTGCGCCAACTAACTGAACGCCTGGAAGATGCTCTTTGAGAGGCAGATGATGTCAGCTCTCGTTTTTTTAGTTTTTCTGACGAGCAAAATTACTTTCAAACTGAAGTGCAAGGTAGGCGGCGAGCGAATGTTAGGCAATGAGTGGGGTTGTAATGGTACTACCTTATAAATAAGTCTGTCCACTTCAAAGGTTCCCATCCAGTTCCACTGATCAACTTCCCACTCATCTAACAGACGTGTAAAATCTAACAACACAAAAAAGTTTAAAAAACTTTTGATTGACTATTGAAAGTAATGTAGCTTGGGGAGCTCTCTAATTTAGTTACGTAAGAAACTCGTGCAACCAGAGTTCATGGTAATAATGTTTATGCGCTCCCTGCCTCTTCCATATGGAGGTTCCTCTAGGACATAAACCCTCTCCGACACAGAATCCGTCCCGAATCATTTGCTATAATTATATAAATGATGTCCCAGTCTTCACTTTGCTTGTTTTGTTGGAGCTACACCCATCGTCTAGGGTCAGAAATCAGTTCTGTCTCTCTCTATATTGCAACGATGTTAGCTAACATAACCACTTAAAGAAATTTTGTCAAAGCGTACCGTTTTTATAGTCGGTGTGTGTGTTTAGAAGATGCCACGCCTCCACAGAAACAATGAAGTCATCTGAAAGGTTTTGACTGACTGAACCACAATCTGCTCAAGAATCCAGAAAAAGAGATATTGTTATAATGGTAACTACAATATAATGTGAAAGCTATTCAACTGAATCTTACTTATAAAGAAATTTCTATCCCTTCAAATCTAAATTTCCTTCAAACCTCCTGCTTGGCTCCAGTGTTCAATGTTGCTGCTTTCAATAACGTTTTAAGAAGTTTTGGTAAAGTGATGAAGTCAGGTGACTACCCATCTACAAGAGCACACATCCTCTCTCCAGTCCCCTCCTATGATCATGGGCAGAGAGGGGCCTGGTAAGAACTTTCCAGAACAGGACACAACAGACCTTACCAGGTTCAAACCTGTGATCTCTGGAATCTTCTACTGGATATGTCCACCATTACCTCACCACCCAGAGAACTTTTGCTTCATTACATAATTTATGCATCATAACTCACTTTTGTCTATTATAATGTTTGCAGGTTGCTTGTTCTTACTATCATCTTTCCCAGGAGAGCCAGGCCTACCCTGCAAAGATGGAAGGAGGCATTCATTTGAGGTCTGATGGCTAAAAGACAAAGTTTCTATAAATGTCTATAAAGTAAGCAGTAACTGATGGCATGAAGAAGTTAGTCCCCCCTGGATGGCATGCTAGTCCATCACAGGTTACTCCCTAGATTGTGAGCAGTCTCTCTTTTACTAAAACATCCCTGGAGAAGAACGCATAACAAAAGAACGTGCAAGCATGATGAAGAGCGTGACATACGACTGGAGCACAGTGATGCTGCAGACCATGAGTAACACTAGTTGCGGTTTGCAGCTTCGCAATTCAAGCTAGGCTCAATTTCTGCCGCTTTCTCGAGTCCGGTCTACATTCCTCCCCAAGAGTTCAGCTGGTAATTGAGCCTAATTTCAAGCTTGAACACTCATGACCACTCTCTTGTGTTGCATTCTTCTCTGCCTTCTTCCCCACAGATTTTCAGGCAAAAGAGAGACTGCTCGCAGTCTAGTTACCCCCTGCATTCTGCCATGTTGGATCAGCTGTTCTCAAACTCGTCATCACAAAGAAGATCATGACCGTAACTGTGGTGTTGGGACATCTGATTTAAATTAGCATATTAGATTTTTATGATTACATTTTTCAATTCTCTCCTTAGCTTTAGTTTTGATCCAGAAGATATATCAAACACTCAAGAAAGTGTTTGGCTACATTTCCAAACAACTTGAAGTTCATCAAAAATATCCTGCTATGTGTTGTTTATTCAACCCTCTTCTCGGTGTTTGGAAATGTGGTCAAAAATGATCTTTCATGTTTGATATATTACTTATCCATTTATACCCTTGGGTGAAGAGAAGTATTGTAAGAGCAAAGTGTCTTGCCCAAGAACACTACACAGTGACCCTGGCCAGGGCTTGAACCAGTACAGCTTGGTTTGTAGTCCCGCGCACTGCAATGTCTCAGCTCACTTCAAAATAATTTCCCTTCAGGGATTCATTTCTTCTGTTTTCATAACCTACATGGTCAATTTTGTCTATTGTTTGATACATTGAAGGGAAATTATAATTATGTTGGTTGCTGTTAGGATTGACTCATGTCTCTTCTGACAACTTTGTAACAAATTAATGGTATTCTGAAAATAGCCAGGCCATTATAAAACAGTTAACTAGTAAACTACACAAAAAAAGTTAAAATAATGAGACATTAATTCAATGATTAATGATTACAAAAGGTGCATTTATTTGGCATTATAAAAAACAAACACAGCTTTCACCCTGAGACCCAGTCCTGTGTTTTAAAAGACTATATTAGTCATACACTGATCATCACTACATAAGACAAAATTACAAGCATTCAAGAAAATATTATCATACTTACAGATGCCAGTTTCCTTTTTTTCTTCTTTGGTGCTGGACTACAAATGGTAAGAAAAGAAAAATGAAAAGAAAAACATTCAGACAGTAAATCACACCTTTATTTTTGTAATTTTCAGACAGGCAGTTAGTGTTTCCAGTATGGCAGTTCTCTTTGAATTCTCAGACTAAGTGTATCTGTTAATTTGTTTGTTGATGTCCAGGACAATTAAAAAACAAATTTACAGTCACATGCTGTGAAATTTATTTGATACTGGAAAACAGAGAACTGTTTTGAGGCCATTCTTTCCTTACCACTGGCATTAAGCAGGGAGAAGTAAAAACATTTATGGTATATTTGTGGCATATGTGTTATGTATTAAGACAGTCATGTGATTGTTGCAGCCTCTGTATCCCTACCTATTGCTACCTCCTCCAGCTGAGTTGCTTGATGCACTGCTTTGATGATTTTCATTCACACTGTCCTCTATGAGAACTAACGGAAATACTAAACCAGAGGAAGCTGCTGGAGAAAAACAATTTACACAGTGAGTATACACTCCTGCTGGTCAATGTGTTGTGAAATCCTCTTATGTATACCAGTCTCAGAGGAACTTTTTGTTCAAATTTCAGTCAGAACTTAAGCATTTATAATCTGTGACATAAAGTTACATAACTAAATTTTCAGTACTTGCAGAAAATTACTGGCTGATCAATCTGTACTTACACACTAAGTCAAGTCTATTGACAACACGGCAGTATTCCCAGACTGTCTGTAGAAACAAGATAATAGCGGCAAACATGACCCCTGTTTTCTCTATCATCTCCTCCTCTGTGCCCTCTTCTAAGCTATGTTTTGACATCCTCTTCAGTTTGTAGTGTAGTTCTGATATGCTAGCCCAATGGTCATTGCTGCTTCTGCAATAAGTGATTGTTAACCATTCAATTAACAAGTCAGTATCATAATCAAGCTTTAATTGTTTTAGTAGCTAGTAAAGTATGAATACAGACTACACGAGCCAACAGGACTTTTCACGTGTATTGTGTTTTACTTTTTGAAGTATACCTGTGTCTAAAAAGGCTAACTAGGGTACATCTCTTTCTGCGTTCTCAGTGCCTTACGAAAAAAGTCAGGGATACTTGCAATTTCACTTAGCGGTAAAAATGAAAGATTTTGGTGTCACTTAGGGTGTTCAAGGCAAAATGGAACTATTTGAAGCAATCAAAGTACCTTCTGGGGTGCACTCGAAGAAATTAAAAAAAAAAACGTTATCATTTCCATTATAGTGGCACCTCTTAGGGGTAGGAAAAAAGCTCAAACCACTCCCAGATTCGTCTCCTTTAGGTGTTTCATTCAAATCTTCCAACAAGTATCCCCAACCTTTTCATTTGGGAGTACCCCCCATCCCCCTGGGTGAGAGTCCCATGGCCCATACCTGTACTTTTTGGGATCAAGCCTGTCGTGAATTCTACAGATCTCCGCCCAGCCACACTTTTGTGCTGTTAGGTAAAACAGCTCATGTAGGGCAACCCAGGGGCCCTTTCCATCCAGCACCTCAGCTACAATGCTTGTGTCTATAATGCCATGTTGAGCATCAGAATTCTCAGACAGGAAGTTGTGGGCAGTGGCGCACGAGACATAGAAATGAATGGATAACTCCAGCCACTTGTATACTTGAGGAAGAGAGATGCCTGGTGCACAGTCCTGGGTAACGAAACATGGAATTTTTGGTGTTTGAGTGAATATGAATTAGTCAGAAATGCAATATTTCTGCGGTACAAGAGCAGTAGTGGAGATTGGGGCTAGTCAATTGCAGCATGGGTTGAAGGGAGGACTATATGAAGGATATCACATGTGAAATCATTCTGCACCGACCCCCCTTCTAGCTTATGTTATTTTTTATTTTTGTGTGAGCATTTATTTTCAAGTATGTTATTCTTCTTTGTTATACATGTGGCCTTTACTCCAACTAATGCAGGTGAGGATGTTCAAGCTGCCAAAATAAACCTATTAGTTTCATGTTGTGTAGTTAACTTCTTGGTGTAGCTGAAATATATAGTTCTTGACACATGTTGATAGATTAATCCAACTTCATTGAGGTTGTTTAGTTATATGATGTCTTTTCATTTGAATTCTATGGTAGTCTGAGTTACTTGCAATGACTACATTTTTGAGGTTGCTTTGAAAGGAAATGTTGGGTTAAGGGAACTGAAAATATTTCACAAACCACAAACCTCATCATCTTGACTACCATTTGCAGATGAAGTATCAACAGCCATGTTATCACTAGCCAGCAAATGAGGCAAAACATCACAGACTGAAAAGCAGCAACACACTTGAAGTGATTAATATGCTCACCATAATGCTGTCATATTGTACTGTTGATGTCATGTTGTCAACCGAAAAGATATCAGATCTTGCCATTTTTTCTTTGCAAGAACATTTCTTTTCAAGGTAAACCAAACAACATGTATTCAAACTACAGTCAAACCTCTATAAAACAACCAACCTCGGGGAAAGTGGCCACTTAAGAGGGGCTGGCCGCTTAATAAAGGCAAAAACTATAGAAAAGCCATCATTGGGACTTTGATTACTAGCTGCCTTATAGGGGTGGCTGTTTAATAGGTTGCCACTTAATAGGGGTTCGACTGTATCAAATAAAAGCCTGCAAAGCATGGCACCATAATTAGAAACAGAAAAACTAAGTTTGGATTCTAAAAAAACCTTAGATGGAATGATTTCAAATAATGTGCAGTCTGTCTAATCCTTTCTCTACTCCACTACACATTTATCATGTGGATGCTGCTTTCATTATTCACTTATCAGTCATGACTGATCTTCAGGTCTTGCACCCATATTGCAAAAAAATACAAAGTTGGTGAAAAAAAGTCTGTAAGTTAGTTTAAGACAGAGAGGTTGCAATGGCTTCATACCTAACAACTTTCTATAAGGATTGACAGGAGCATCTGGATACTCAGAGTTTTCAGCATCAATTAACATCTCGGTCAAGGCAACCTCGAGCAAAAAAAAGTAATGTTTGATTAAATATGTAAAATATGCATTGATCGGTACAATAATGTTAATCTATAAATTCTTAAGTATATTAATAAAGTTAATAAAACAATAATTATTACTTAAAAACAAGCTTCAATCAGTAGAACTGTTTTCAATTATGGAACATCAGAAGTTATCAGGCAATTACTTCAGTTTTGGTTTTACTACGATTTAAGACTGGCTGAGTAGTCTAACTGGTGGGTGATTGGTTTAATTCTGGTTTTACAACAGTCAATTGTAAACTGCTCTAAATAAAATAATTAATTAAATAAATACCCCATTCTTTGGAATCACATCAGGAAATCTTCTCATCAACAGTAACATCATCCTGCATTTCTCAATACAATCTTTGCATCTCCCTAATACACATACATAGTCATGGTGAAGAAATATTACAAAAAAATTATGTAAAGATCATCTAACAAGGCACAACTGGACCTTAGGCTCCTTTAACACCACCCACCTGCTGCCTTGAGAAGTATTTCTCGCTGGGCATGCTGTGGAAGACTGCTAAACATGTCTGGAGAGAAATCATCAAATTAACAGGTTTTAAATGTTTTCATTGTATCTCAAAACTATAAAGAAAAACCTAAAAAAACTCTCAAAGAAATTCATAGACTCTTTCAAAGAGAGACAGAGGTAACTTGAGCCACTCTGTTCACTTATGACTACTCCATATAACAGAAAATTTAAAAATATCAGTCTGGGATATTTGATTAAATTACTATTGCCAATATAAGCCTCACTGTTTTTTTTTTTCTGTAGGGCTGATATGAGTAATAACCTCCCAGTATGCTTCTCACATCTATTTATATACCTGTCAAAAATTTTCCATGTTGGTCCGTGACCTCACTTTCAAGGGCATCAGTGAAGCTTGCTACTTCCTTCCAAAGTATGTTGCTGTCTGGAAACTGCTCAAACCTAAAATTTATCAAAATAATAATATGCAAAACAACTGTAGTTGACTGTAGTTGATATGTACAATTCACCCATAAAGTAACAAGTTTGTTATGGGTGTGAAGATCAAGGCTTCAGATGAATCAAAACTTAATGACAGCCCTGCCTAGGGCTTACAAGAGAGTTTAAATGTAACTTGGGGACAGGGGTTGGTGATAAAATCTGATGCTTGTTGAGATGCCAAGACACCTTTTTAAAAAATCAAGACAGTGACTTAAATACTCTAGACTCTCGGACAGCAAGAAATGCACAAACAGAGACTTTGAGAACAGATCAAAATGTTTCTGGGACCCATAACCTGGGTGCCAGAGGTTTTATTTTTCTTTCCTGAGTAGGAGTGCACCTGCTATAGCGTGATATGTGGTGAATGGTTTCCCACACCACAACTGCTTTGCCAACTGGACTCAAAATCATGGCTTTGCCACTCACAGATCACGCAAAACAAAAACACTGTGGGACCCAGTGTACAAGACCCATGAATCCAAAATCTAAAAAGGTAGACACGGATCTAGGGGGGTGCAGGGGGACACCCCCCCAGAAATCCTTCTTCTTCGTGTTCGCTTTTAAAATTTGTTTACCTCACCAGTCCTTAGTGGTGCACCCCCTCCTAAGAATAATCCTCGATTTGCCCCTGAAAAGTTTAAAATCTTAATCCACCCCCTAGGTTATTTTCTCTCATAGAAAACTTACATGATGTAGAAGAGGTTGGCTGACTCCTGAACTCTCTCAGCATTTCTTTCAATAGTGTAAGCCTCATACTAAAAAAAAAATGAATAGAATGAGCAAGTACCCCAAAACTTTCCTGTGATTTTGTCGCAAACAATATCAAGTAATGAAAGAATTAATCATATAAAAGGAAAATTTACCGCAATATGCTGTCTAAAACTCAGGAATAAATATATAAAGAAATGTATGAAAGCATAAAGGAGAATATTCAACAAAAATTTCAGAGAGTATGAGAACATTGTACTGCTGTCTTTGCACCTAGTACATGAACACACAGATGAACACTGCACACTGTAAGCTCACCTGAAGTCCAAAATCTTTGGGATATAAAGTCTTAGCAGTTATAAGCCACGCTTTAGCTTCATAAGGATTGTTTTCTTTAAGACTTTGTCTAGCTCTTTCAACTAACCACTGGGTTGAACAATCGACATCAGCCATGGTCACATCTTCTTCGGCGGCCATATTGATTCGAATAGCTTACAGTGCATATTACACGACGTACATAAATAGTTGGTGGTATAGTAAGACCATTGCGGGCGCATAGAACCCCTTAACTACTTTGCGGCCGCCCCGCATTGCTCTTCCTCTTTCCTCAAAGACACGAGGTAACATGGCGGATGATTCTTCGAATTACATTTACAAAACTACGAGAAATATGAGTTTTTCGGCGTAGATATCTTTTAGGAATTGAACTACAACTGATAAGATGCCGCTGCTTTTTTTCCAGGTCTTCACCGACCATGCAGATCTTTGTGAAAACCCTTACAGGGAAGACTATCACCCTTGAGGTGGAACCTTCAGATTCCATCGAAAATGTGAAAACTAAAATCCAGGATAAGGAAGGTAGAGTATCTTTAACACATTACGTTATTCTTTATCTACTGTCACACTGCGTTGGCCTGTATCGGTGGAGGAACATTTTGTTCGTGTTGCAAGTGATTTAAACAAGGGCAATCAGAAGACTGAAATTTAAAATTCATGCTGCTGAAAAATGTCAACTTTGTAAACAAATCTTAATTTTTTTGTGAAATGCTGGTGAATAATGTGGTCACTTCATTAGCTTAAAGTTTATACTGTTAGTACATGTAGATGTTTGAAGCTGTTTAATGTACTAGGAAATAATTCGTGAAACCTGTCTTGCAATTTTGTTTTACAAGTTCCACAAAATGTTGCTTAGTGTAAACATCCAAGCCATGCAATAATCTGTTGTGTGCTTAGTATAATGCACGTTTGACAGAATTGTAATGTGAAAAGTGGGCTCTTTGTTTTAAACTGTTCGTTTTATTAAATACTAACCAACTCCCTCTTCTTCTCTTTAGGTATTCCTCCTGATCAGCAGCGACTCATTTTTGCGGGCAAGCAACTGGAAGATGGCAGAACACTTTCTGATTACAACATACAGAAAGGTAAGCTATGATAATCAGCTCTCCCAATTTAAACATAAGAAGAGCATAAGTAGAAACCTTGAGGTATAATTGTTACAATCCTTGATTAACCCTTTGTTTGTAGACTCGAACAATGAGTGTCAAGTATCTATGAAACTTATGTACAGGTTACAATACAATATGGCAGGGGTTTCACTAAGGGTAGGGGACGGAAAAAATTGACCAGCTGTGAGGCCAATTTCGGTTGCCTGGTTTGACCATCTAGTGGAAATTTGTTCTTATAAAAAAAGTTCAGTTCAAAAAAAAATTTGCTTGCCTGCAAAAACCAGTTTCCCTCCTGCTGAAAACATTAATGAAACCCCTGATATGGCAACATTTCACTTATGATATCATAGCTGCCAGTTATAGTCCTTTAATAACAACTCTCAATTTATTTTTCTCCATCAACAGAATCCACTCTTCACCTTGTGTTGAGGCTGCGTGGTGGTGTTATTGAACCCAGTTTGCGTTTATTGGCACAGAAATACAACTGTGACAAAATGATCTGTAGGAAGTATGTCTTCTGAAACAATTGTAATTTCTTTTTACTGTGCTCGCTGCCTTATGATAGTACAATGTATATTTTGTATGTGTACAACTTGTGTAGAACAGCTATTCAAGTAATTCTGTTTTTCTCACTTTCCTTAAGAAATTGTTTAGGTGTAGTACTCAAGAACACGATCTACGTTTGCCACTGGTTTTCAGCTAGGGGCTTTGGCAGTTCTCTCTCTTTTTTTAAATAGAATTATTTTTATGGCCACTGGGCTGTTGTAAATCGTGGTAACTGGTCGGGCCACATCCAACATAGGTCGGACCTAAACAATGTGCGGAAGAAATGGGCTACAAGCTACAATTGGATAGCAAGTATTCCACAGTGATTATATTTTGCTTTCCATTCAGGTGTTATGCCCGTCTGCACCCCCGTGCTGTCAATTGTCGCAAGAAGAAGTGTGGACACAGTAACAACTTGAGGCCAAAGAAGAAGCTTAAGGGCTAACTCCCCCATTGCTTAATTGTAGTGTGGAGCTTGGATGTCAATGATGTTGATCTAAACTTGGCAATAAATAAGCTATAAAACCATAATGGTGTCTGTGTATATCTCAAATTTGCTTGATTACCATCATTTGCATTTAAGCTGTAACATGTCACTAAAAAAACATGATCTAAATGTTAATGGCAGGGCTCAAAAAAAGTGTTGTCAAGTTGTCTGGGACAAGTAGATTTTCCTTCTGGGCAAGTAGCTCTCATTCAGTTCACACTTGCCCAATGAGCAAGGAATCAGGCAAGTTGTCTGCCATCTGAAGCATTAAGAGAGCAAACTAAAACTTGCCCAGGGCAAGCCAAATTTGAGAACTACTTGCCCCAATGGCCAGCTGGAATTCAAGTTTTTTTCGAGCCCTGCATAATGGGTTTCAAACATTGCATGATTCGTTGTTAATCATTTGAAGTTTGGCAGACCAGATATGCAAACTTTCTTGCCTAATGTCCTTCACAGTTGGTATCGTTTTACAGAGTTGTGAAATTGTCTTCAAAAGAAATACTTTCAACTGGGAGCTCCTCGCAAAAAGGAAATCTATATTTTTCTGGGCATGGAATGGCCTCTGGGCCATTCTCAGTAAGGCAGAGAATTTTGTCTGCTTTTCTTTTTCATCTCCCTGTTGCAGGAAAATCATAGTAAATGTGCAGCATAATAATATATGTGATGTGTAATCAATGACTAATCGATGGGTAAAATAATGTCAATGAATAATCAATGTGGTCCATGACTAATAGATAGGCCACAAAATGTTTGGCTATAGATTGACCACTCACTGATGTTATTGATCATCATGTCTGGACAAAAGCAACCTGAAAATGTAAATTAATGCTGAATTTTTGCATGTGTTGAACAACGGGTCGTCTTTTAGAATTTATTCTTCTTTCAAAAACAAAACTACCATTCCATAGAGAATTCATGCTAGTTCAATAACATGTATTGTCCTGTGTACATCACGACACATGCACCCAGGACAATGTGGGAAGGCTAACAACAATACTTACACTATCAATTGCACTCACCCAAAATACAGTTTTCTCTGACTGAATGAAATGCCCAGTGCTCAATGAAGGCAGGGAGGGGGGTACTTGACCCATGTTTGGGTATAGGGGTACTGCTGAGGGTTTGAAATCCTAACTCTCTAAAAGCCCCATCCTGAGTGATGTCAATTCCTGTCATCACGATACCCAACACAAGGAATCTAGACTGACCAGGATGAACTACTCTGTCAGTATGTGCTTGTTATGATACTGATTGAGTGGAAAAATAATTTAAATTAAAGGATACCCACAACAAGAGCATATAACTCTTGCCCTGAAAATGATCTGATGTTCACTGATGACCCTATAAAGACTGGTTGACATATTTGATCTTGGACTGATATTGTCTGGTTAGGACAGATGGAAGTAAAATAATTATTGTATACCCTGTTCAGCACAACCAGGCCCAAATACCATACCCTATCCAGTGGCATGCCCCAATATTGGCCAAATAAGAGATTACCAGAGGGGGGGGCAGAGTAAAGGTGTGCCTTCTAAAGCTAAAAAAACAGGGAGAGAATCTGAAACGGTTCTTTCTCCCTTTGTTAAGCCACTGTCGTGGCTTAATATTTTCCCTGACTTAAAATAAGACTGCCAGACATCCCTGCATTTCCCTGCATTTCCTGACCTGTGGCAACTTTTGCAAGTCCAGAGAATGATACAAAGTGACTATTTTCATCATAATTTAATGATTTTGGTTTCTAAAGGAAACCAGCTTAGCCTGATACAGCTACTTCAGTAACAGATTAAATCTCTGGGTAAATGCAAAATTCTCAAGATCATATATTACAATGAATCGCTGTTGACATTTTCTACTTCATTAAATTAAATACCGTTCTTAAAATACAGCTTTGTATTTTTGTGTTAAAGGTAACAATCTATCACTGGTGATTTCAACATTATACTGTACACATTGCCATCTATCTACAAAAATATTCTCTATTCTAGGCACTAGTAACATTGATTTGAAAAAGTCTCACAGAATATTTAACCTGAACAGCTGGAGCATCAGAACATGAAGAGACCATCTCTACCTACATGTTACGTTGGCTTTTACCGACTGTTCAATTTCCTCCTCAGATTCTCAATATTTGACCCAAACAACATTATTCCATATAATTGTATTAATGATGCTCCACAGAACAGCCCTTTTGCATGATGGCATCAGACTAGCCCAAAGCACCACCAAGCCTCTGTTTGAAAATGCAAATTTCAAATTTAGTCACGAACAAATTCTCAAAGCAGCAAAGATGAAAAGAACACACACACACATGAAAACAACTTGAAGATGCCACAAGTTTGAGAAAACTTTGTGCAAACAAGGCTTGGTGGTGAATTTTTCAGCATGTAACATAGGACATATTAGATCTATTTGGTGTCTACTGGCTGATACTTGAACATAACAATAATGAAATAAACAATTGAAACAAACAACAACTAATCATGGACTGCTTCATCTTAACACAATTCTACAGGTCAAATATAAGTCTTGCATCAAAAGCAAGGATGAATTAAGGAAGGGAAGGGGGCATCTGTTGTCAAAAATGCAACAGATAGAGTGGGACTCTTGCATAATCAATGGTAGATGATTACATTACTAAGTGTTTTAACACAAAATCAGAGCTAAAACATACAATATGGTTAAAAGTATCCCCAATCTAACAGTATTTAAAAGCCTTGAAATGTTTGGAACACCTCAGAATTGCATAACACAGAAAACTTCCTGTTCTAAAAATTAGCAGTAATAATATTAACAATAATAATAATAATAAGCATTTACCACATGCTTCTATTGATTTTTTTGATTTCCACAACTTTAAAATCATATCACCTTTGACTTAAATCTTATAGAGCTTGAATCAAGCAATATCCATTTAATTAACACAGAAAAATTGATTCTAAAAAACATCATGTTGAGACTTGAAGAAAAAAGAAATTTCTGACTTATAAAATTGAATTCTGTTGATAGAATATAATTGATTGCCAGGCATACATATGACCAAACTACAGCCATTGAAACCTGTTCACTTGTCATATTCTACATTCGGGGCACAAAGAATTTTTACCAGTTGTGCAGTTCCAAAAAATATCCACACCCCCCACCGAATGGAAGGTTACTGGTTACTCTGAGGGGTGGGGAGTCTCAAACATTTTGTTGCTCAAGCAAATACAACAAAAAGCTGGTAATCATTTCTTTTTACAGCCCTAAAAGAAAATTTCCAAAATTTTGAAATTCTCTCTGCTATTATGCACACTAATAATAATTATTGATATTATGTGAAGGTTGGAGGATGTCTGGCAATTAGGTTTTATTGTAACCTTGTGTCACCATCAGTTCCAAAATTTCTTAACCCGATATTATTGTCAACATGCAATTTATTTCCCCCTGCTAGTAGCCATTATCATTTTCTTTTAATATAGAACTAGGAAGGAGAATGTTCACAATGCAGTGAAGTGAGCCATACACAATTCCAATGATGAATTTTTGGCATCTTTTTAACAATTTTTGAATGAGTCCCGATTGACTTAGAATTTAAAAATGGAACCAGCATGTCAGAGGCATGCTGTTATGAAAACTCTGTCCACCCGTTTCTCACATTTTGATGAGTTAATCCAGGGGTTTCATTAACATTTTCAGCAGGAGAGTAACTGGTTTTCACAGGTGGGCAAAACTATTTGAATGGAACTTCTTTACAAGAACAACTTTCTGCTAAATGGTCAAATTAGGCGGAGAAATTGTCCTCACAGCTGGTCAATTTGTCTGATGTCCAGCCCTTAATGAAAACATCAAATGAATCTTGACAGAATGTTGAAAAGAATTCCAAACTTGATAAAACTACTGCCAATAGTATACCACACTTCACTGTACTGTAAGACAACTTTCCTTTGATACTAACTTCTCAATGTTAATGGCCTGTAGGTTAGATTGGTAAAATAATACCTGGAGAAATTCATACTTAGCAGTCCTTGGGACTTAAAAGGTTATGGGCTGTATACCGATACGGCTTAAATTCACAGTGCTAGCCTAATAAAGTCTTCACATGAAAGTTGAAACTGCAACAGAGCTTGTCATTTTTAAAATTATTATTGTCCACAAAATCTGCATGATTACCGAACAGCTCACCAGAGTTCATTGTATCAAATTCAGAAATGTTTTCAGTCTGACAGTAAGATCATCTTTTACAGCTTTATTGCAGACGCTTCCCACCACATCCTAATGTAATTGTTTCACTGCAAATACTATTCAGAGCTTCCTCGTACCTTGGGAAAATTCACGCAGAATTTTCCTTGCCATAGCAAAATTGTTCTCAGCGACAATCAGTGCCCGGGTGATCTCATCTCGAGTGTAACCTTGTGCTTGAAGAATTGTAAAATCTTCTTCATAAAACTGCATGTCGTCAATGTTTGGATCTTCATCTGGACGCCTGGAACGTGGTGGCCTGTGACTATCTTGTGCTTCCAACTTACTTGGGTCAAAGCCCTGTGTACCATATGTCGGATTGCTGAAGCTTTTTGCTTCTGCTCCTGCCCAACTGTTGCGAGAAATAAGTGCTGGGCGCGAAGTCCTATTGTGAACAATGTCCGCAGCAGAATTTCTGTTGGACTCAAAGTCATTATTTTGGACAGCAGTTCTACTGCTGCCTCTTTGAACATTAGAATATGTAGCATCATCGAGCACATCATCAGTGGATCTTGCCTTGGTGAAGGTCCTTGCAGGACGTGGATTTTTGTCTTTATTCATGTGAACTTGACGTGGTGCGCCAGAATGATAGCTTTGTGAACGCCCTGGTGGTGGCAATTCCACTACCAGTGGCCCCTTTACAAAATCGTCATCAAAGTGAGCAAATTTTGATTTACCTGCTGATACAAATGGGTCATCAGCAAAAGGGTCTGCAACTGATTGCAAGTTGCTCGAATCATCTTCTAAACCATTCTTCTTACCAGGTGTCTTATCGTGTGAATGCCCTCTGTCTGACAGAATAGGAAGAGGGAAATCGTACGAGCTTTTTTCTTCATTTGGACAAATTTCAGCAAACATGTTTTCATTTGACCTACTTTCTTCCCTGCTTTCAAGCTCAGGGCTCTCTGGAACAGGATAAGCTAGCTCAGCATAGTTTGTTTTATTTGATTGTTGCGGACTATAAGGCTCATTCACCACATTAGCAGCATCAATGTCTGCATACCCAATCGTGTCCCTTCTGTTGAGTTCATGCTTCGCACCAGCAGATCCATTTTTATTCTCCTTATTCTCTAAACTACCACCTCTGTGTTTGTATCGTCTTTCTGGCACTGCAGGAGGGCTGTCTTCGTCTGAGTTGGCTGGGGGTGGTGGTCGGCGTCCCTTGCGCAACTGCGCAGGAGAGTTATGTGGTGAGCCACATGGAGAGGTCAGAGGTGAAGAATGTGGCGAGACATTTGGGGATGCTAATGGAGAATTTCTCGGTGAGTTTCTGGGAGAGTTCCTTGGAGAGTTCCATGGTGAATGTCGTGGCGAGGACCTTGAGGAGGTCCTAGGAGAACCAAATGGTGATGCATGTGTTACTACCAGAGTTGGGGAGGTGGGTGACTGCAGGCCAAGCATATGGTTTCGTCTCTGCGGCAAGGGCGGGGGTGCATCTTCTGCAGACCTGGACTGCTCATTGTTGTTCTCCTGCTGTAAATGTGGATATGTTCCACTTTGTTGAGAAGAATAAACTCTCGCTTCTGTCACTGGCACCCACTGACTTGGATCCTGAGAATGTTATGACCATTAATACATGTAGTTAGATTCACAGATAAATCAATGGATGGATGGACAGACAGACAGACAGACAGACAGGTACAAGTTGCACATACTGGTATCTTCTAAATCGTATAGACTGTCAAGGATGTAACATTTATTTACATTATAAATCTATTCCAAAATGACCTAAAAGCTCCTATGACAATAGCTACTATCAACCAAGGGGATTTAGCCCAGGAGATTGTCCAGCCTACAGATATGCAAGGTATCTAAGTTTGTTCCATTTAAATTGTTCATAAGCTGCCGGAAAACACTTACTACCTACTTATCAAATTGAAGGTAAATTAGCCACTGAAGTTGGTTTGTGATGTTGACATTTTGCTCAAAATGTCAGCTTCACAAACTGAAAAGCTGTAAATCTACCTTTATCAAACGTCAAGTTGATAATAGCTGGGAAGCCTAGCATTTCACTTGCCCACTGCTGAAGTAGAATTGTTACTTTAGAAACTAATGAGTTTGCTCATCCAAAATAAAAAGAGATTTAATGTAGAAAATAATGTCCAATAATATATCTCGCAGTTACTACACATGCTGTGAATTGGCCAATTTAGAGGGTCGTATCCTACTGTATGGCACGCTAAAATTCAAAGTTGTGTTTGTTGCCAAAATGTTTTGCGATATATCACAAAGTGTTCTTAAGCACTTGGGCCATAAATCGAAGGGGAAAAACTGGGTCCCTAACTTACGATACGGACCTCAATCTCGGTTAGTAAGAAGTATTTACAAAGAAATCCAGGAATTTAGAAATAAAAAAAGATACTGATGTAGTTATTCTAACCTCCATGATTTCATCTTCCTCAAAGTCAAGGTGGTCTTGGCTGTCAGTAGAGTTACTAGGTGACATTTCCTGTTCAAGATGTGGCACAAATGGATCCACTACAATGGTCTGCATGTCTTTGATTTCAGAACGGCAAAATGGACAGCCCTCGCCACCGGTCTCTTGCCACTGTTCTAAGCAAAGGTGACACATTAAATGACCACAGGGCTCCAACCGCACATCTTTATTATTCTCGGCACAAATCTTGCAAAGCTGAAAAGTGGAGCCCATCTCACAGTAGAGCTCATACTGCTCCTCTGTTACAGTAACATGCTCGTCAGGGGGAGTGATCAGATGATGGCTGACATCAGGATTGGTTGATTTTCCATCTGGGTACAGGTAGCTGAGCAAAGATAAAACATTAATCAAGAACCAATTTTGTGGTTATTTGTAACCTCTTTGACTGAACTAATCATCTTTGAGGATGTGGATGGAATTGTGTGGTGTAGTTGAATATTGTCAGAATTGCACAATGAAAATTTGATTTGTCAAAATTTGATCTCAGGCACCCTTTTAATTTTCTCCTTACAAATATCTAGAATGGAAACTTAATTTCAACAGTATTTCTTATCTTGGCGAGTGACCTTAAAGTGCATCTAACCCCCCAATTTTTTTTTCGCTAAAACAAATCTAGACTTTATTTGAAGCATTTGGGCGCAGAAATTTTTGAATTTGGTTGAATCCTCGATTTTCTATGCCCTTTCAAAGTCG